AGAAAAAAAAAAAAAAAAAAAAAAAAAAAAAAAAAAAAAGTATGCTGATTTCATGAATCAATACTTACAAAACGGTCATATGAGCCATATTAGGGCTCAAGATGAGGCTAAACCCAAATTAGTTAATTACCTCTCCCATCATGCTGTGGTCAAACCCGGAAAATCAACCACCAAACTTAGAGTAGTTTTCAATGCTTCAGCAAAGGGTTCCAAGGGCCTCAGTTTGAACGATGTGCTTTTGACTGGTCCAAAGCTTCAAAAGGATATCAACACGATACTTCTAAAGTTCCGATTTCATCCAATCGTTTTCTTGGCAGACATCAAACAAATGTACCTGCAAATAAACCTGACTCCAGAACATAAGGATTTCCAAAGACTCCTTTGGCGTTTCGATCCTAATCATCCAGTAGAAGAATATCGTCTCAACACAGTGACCTTTGGTGTAAGCTCCAGTCCTTTTCTCGCAATTCGTACACTTCAAGAGTTAGCCTCATTGGAAAAACACAAATACCCGGAAGCGGCGCAGGTACTTCTGGAGGATAATTTTGTTGATGATATTTGTTCAGGTACCTCGGACTGCATTATCTTTGCAGAAGGACATGATTGCTCTCTTGAAATGCGGTGGCTTTGCGCTAAGAAAATGGGCAAGCAATCATCCGCAACTACTATCATCTCTCTCCCCCGAAGAATGCCAAATTCCCGTGTCGTTCGACAGGGAGGAACCATTATCCATAAAAGTCCTAGGTTTACACTGGGACCCCTCATCAGATAAAATGTTTTTCGCTTGTGAACCATCAGACAAGTCGTGCACCAAACGCAATATCTTATCCGAAATTGCTAGAATTTTTGACCCTCTGGGATTTCTGTCGCCTGACTCATTCTGCGCTAAACACTTAATGCAAAGGCTGTGGCTTTCTAAAACCGGCTGGGACGAGCCAGTCGAACAATCTATCCAAAACTGTTGGTCTCAAATTCAATCAGAACTTCCTGGTTTAGCTAAAACACTTTTTCCTAGATACATTTTTTCGCAAAATATTCACGTTGCCAGCTGCATGGATTCTCTGACGCTTCCGAGTTAGGCTACGCTGCTGCAGTCTATCTTCGCATAGAGTCGCCCGAGGGTGTCATTCAAACCTCTTTGATCATTGGCAAGGCTCGAGTAGCACCCCTCAAATCGCAAAGTGTACCTAGATTGGAACTCCCAGGTGCCACTCTTCTATCCAACCTTCTTCAGTTTGTTATGGAGTCATACACTAAACTAACTATTATCGACGAAGTTTTCGTTTACACGGATTCCCAAGTTGTCTTGGCTTGGATTGCTAGCTCACCACATCGATGGAAGAGCTTTGTAGCCAATCGGGTTAGCCACATCCAAGAAACGATCCCAAATGTCAAGTGGTATCACGTGTCCACTCACGAAAATCCCGCAGACTGTGCAAGCCGTGGCTTAACTCCTGCCAGTCTGGCAGATCATCCCTTATGGTTTCAAGGACCTCCCTGGCTTCTTCAACCAAGTTCTTCATGGAATCGACAACCCCCAAATTCATGTGGTAATCAAATAACCGCAATCGAAGAAAGGAGTCCCATTCTTTTAACGGCCATGATTGAGGATCATATCCTCGACACTCTATTAGACAAATATTCCTCTTTGTCTAAAATACAGAAAATCCTTTGTCAGTGCCTGAGAGTTTTTCACAATTATCGTCACAAATCGTCTCCGCTTACCGGAGCGATCTCCTCCTTTGAACTTCAAAACGCTTTGCTCCTTTTATCCAAAAGAGCTCAACAACGACGATTTTCAGGTCTCATTGCCCAAATTCGAAACAATGAGCTAGTTTCAAAGTCCTTTCGACCTCTTGCTCCTTTTCTTGACAAGGAGGGACTGGTCAGAGTGGGCGGACGGTTAAGACATGCCCATATGTCCTTTGAAGCCAAATATCCCGTTTTATTACCTCGCGACCATCCTTTTACTCGTCGCCTAATTGAACAAGTTCACCAAGACAATCTACATCCTACAATCTCCCAACTTAAATGTTTTTCGCATGCCACTCTGGATTATGCTGGCCCCTTTAATATAGTCATGGGAAGATATCGAGGCGCCAAGGTTCTAAAAGCCTATATATGTGTCTTCGTGTGCTGTGCCACCCGGGCAGTGTACATTGAGCTTACTTCTGACTTGACCTCCGAGGCATTTATTGGGGCATTCCGTCGCTTTATTTCTCGGCGTGGGCGGGTAACCCATCTCTACAGTGACAACGGAACGACGTTTGTGGGTGCCAATACTCAGCTGATAGAAATGTCCCAATTGGCTGCGGATCATCTTCAAATTCTCTGGCATTTCAATCCCCCAGCTGCTCCGCATTTCAATGGCTTGAGTGAGGCCGGCGTCAAAGCGGTAAAGACTCATCTGTATCGAGTGATCGGTGATCAGCGACTCACTTACGAAGAGCTAAACACTTTCCTTGCTCAAGTGGAAGCCGTCTTGAACTCCAGGCCTTTATGTGCCCAGAGCTCCGACCCAAACGACTTGCAGCCATTAACCCCGGGACATTTTCTGACCCAAGAACCTCTAAATTCTTGTCCCGACCCTGATTTGTCCCATCTCAAATTGAACACTTTGTCTCGGTGGCAATTAGTTCAACGATTGAACGCAGAATTTTGGAAACGCTGGAAGGATGAATATCTCCACACCTTGCAGCAACGCTCAAAATGGACTCAAAATCCTTCGAAAATAACTTTAGATCAACTAGTAATTATCAAACATGAAACGAAACCTCCCCTTCATTGGACCCTTGGCCGAGTTGTTGAGCTACATCCCGGACCAGATGGGCATGTTCGGGTGGTCACCTTAAGGACCCAGCAAGGACTGTTTAAACGTCCTATTGTTAAGCTGTGTCCTTTGCCAATTGGTTAGATTCCAAACCTTACCAATGTATCAATGTTTGTGTCGTCGCGGGTCAGAATTCTTACCTCATTTATTTTAGTTTATTTTTATTTTTTTTTACTCAATTTTATTTTTTCTCTTTGATTTTTGATTTTCAAAACGTTGGTTTTGAGTGGGCGGAAAATGTATGTGCATCTCTTCAAGAGTGTCAAAGTCACGAATTTTGCTCATATTGAAAAACCATACAAATTCAAATAGGTATAGCGCCTCCTATGCAGGGAACAACAGCGCCCTCGGTATGGAACCGAGGTCGACAAAAAAAGGTACGAAAAACACTCGATTCGTACAGCCAAGCGACTGCGCCTCTTTTCGCCAAACACGAAACACGAACACACATTTTTTAATCCGTTTTCGCACACAAGAAAGTTGATGAATTCGCGAGCTCGCCGGTTACCGGTTTCGAAATAAAAGCCGGTAGTGTTGTGCAACCGAAACAAGACCCGGGATCCCGGTATTAAAAATTAACTTAGAACTAGAAGAACCCCAGAACCACAGGTAAGGCGCCTTTTATCATATTGTCTTTTGTATGGTTATTTTTTTGCTACATATTCATTAGTTGCGCTTACAGTCCACGTAACTCCGAAGGTGATTCTAAAATATCAACCATTACGCCAACAATGATCCAGTGATCTATCCCTAAATTAAATGTTGACACCTCAGTTAGAGGCCCTAACATAGTTTATTAATTTGTTCTTTTTGTTTCGTTTGATTAAGGTTTAAAGTCAACCCCCATTTTCTGAACCTTGTGTTCAAAAATTCCAAAAAAAATATATGTTTTATGGTTATTGATATACTTCAATCCATAATTTTTTTAAGCAAATTTGACTCGCCATTTTTGAGATACTATATCGCAAAAACTGAAAAAAAGTGGTTTTTCACCATTTATTTCAAAACGAATAGATGAAGTTTCCCGTTATTTTTATTACGAACTATATTGCAATTCTACGCGACATATATTTTTTTCTACGAGCGTGCGGGAAATGGCTCTTCCCGCACGATTTGCTGTGCGGGAAGACTTTTTTCCCGCACCAGTGCGGGAAGAGTTTGAAATAATAATTGTGACATGGAATTGTTTGTATTGTTGATACACCTATACCTTTACCTTCAATACCTTTACCTTTTTTTTATAAATACCTTTCAATACATTTTTAATTCTACCTTCTGCACAATCTGCATTTTATTTAAATTAAACTTCTCGTAACATCAGCCGCAGTATGCCCGTAGAAAAAATATAGTTCCTAACTCTTGCGGGAAGAAATTTCCGGCACTCGTTAGGAAAATAGCTATTTTCAAAATTTTTGAACTTGTAGTTTTCTCGCTACTGCAAGAATAGTTGGAAATACGCCTGTAGCTACACTGTTTAAAAAAAAAATCCGACTACAACCCTGTTTATGTAAAACAGAATAATACTTCGAATTTCCGCAAAAAAAAGAAAAAACTTTCCATCACACAATTTAATCAAATGCAGATTTCTATTTTTTTTGACTATCAAGTTAGGGCACACTATAGGGGCGACAGTACTGACATCTCGCGTTGCTGTAAAGAACGGACTTTAAACCTTAATTTGAAATGTACTTGCGCTCTATATTGTTGTAAAATTAACCAGCAAAAAAGAAACATTGTCAAAATTCATTTTAAATTTGTCAGAAATCCACTAAAAATCTAAGCTCAGAACTGAGAATTTATAGAGGCTAGCGTAAGATATTTGTATTTATTATTATTATAAAATTATGAACTTATTATATACATTTTAGGAATTTGAGTGCTACTAGCACAGCTAGAAATAAATTATAAATTTTTGAAAGGCACTACAAATCTAGTCTCATTTCCAACAACTATAGCAAAAATTAAACCAAAATGAAATTCAATTCAATGAGTGCCATTGCCCCCTCTCGAGTCACGAATCAATTTTTTTAAATTTTTCCATCCTTATAAACACTTCAATAGGAACCTGTTTACAAAAGTCGTTAGTAATTTATCAATATATAGGTAGGTATATATTTAAATGATTAGAAGTGTTTTCTACCAATCTTAGTAAATAAGTTCAAGAAGTTTGTTTGGAAGATTCAAAAATTGATTCTCTTACACAAAAAAAATAATTTAGATGAACCCCCCCTTGCCATAGATAAAACGTAAATATAAATGCTACTGAAAGCTCCATAGGCCTATCATTACCTAAAATGAAGTCCATAACAGTACTACTGCTCATTTTTGGTTACATATCCGCGTCTCAGGCAGCGGTGAGTTTGACAGTGGACGGCCTCAAAGCCACACTCAAAAACAAACATGTCGAGCTCAATTTTAATGCAAACGCTCAAATTATAACTGCAAAAGTTGACGGTACTAGCTTACAAGCTAGGGGTGCTTCAAGTTTTTATTTGGATTGGAATAACAGTAAGTACCTACATAGAATTTTTATTCCAGTTTTCCTTTTTCCTGTAATTCATTGATAAAAAATTATAAAATTTCCAGATAAATATCATACTTATTAAAAACCCTGGATTTTTGTTTAGATGGTCAAGGATATTTCCATCCATCCAGCATCCATATAGTGGAACAAACCGCCGACAGAGTCCATTTCTATTGGCTCCAGAAAAACATTCAAAAAGTTTTCAGAATCGAACTTCACTACATCATGGAAGCTGGTCTCAACGGAGTTTACTCTTATGCCAAGTACACCAACGATAAAACCTATAACCTGACCTTAGCAGAAACGAGAACTGTAAGTTTTTTCATAAGAATTGTCCAAAAATCAATATATTTGCTTTAGGTGTACAGATTTGATGCATCAATAATGAGTCAAGGTACCAACCAGCAACGTTCCGGTATCCTTCCAACCACAAAAGAACTAAACCAGTGCACGACAATACAAGACAACACATGGAAATTCCCTAACGGAACCTACTACACCAAATATGATTATGTCGCTTACCTGAGACAAACCAACTATCAAGGAGTTTACGGAAACGGGTTCGGAGCTTTCATAATATCTCCTAGCAGAGAATACCACGGCGGTGGTCCATTAAAACAAGACTTAACAGTGCATCAGGAATGTCTCATCACCAACTACTTCGTCAGTAGTCATTTCGGCACACCTCCAACTGTCGCTGCACCAGGTTGGAATCACATCTACGGCCCTTGGCTGATTTATTTCCCTACAGGCAACAACAATGCTATAATGTCTAGTGTGGTAAAACAAGTTACAACCGAACAATCTCGTTGGCCTTACGCTTTTGTCAAAGACGATGAATATCCAAGAACCAGAGGGCAAGTAAGCGGAAAGGTGCACGGCCAAAAAAGCGCCACTGTTGTCTTATGGAGTTCACTTGATGAAGATTTCGACAAGCAACAATTGGGGTATCTTTACAGTGCGGAAACTGACTCTACTGGATACTATATTATAACTAACGTACGGCCTGGTACTTATAGAATTGCCGCTTATCCTACAGCTGGTTCTGGCAGCGATAGTTTGGCTGAATCTCGGGTTACTCTGGCCGCAGGTGCCCGTGAGCATGTTGCACTCACTCTGAATGAACCCAAAAACATAATTTGGTCTTTAGGCCAAGCTAATAGACTATCCAATGAATTTAAATATTCTGATCAGCCACGTAATTACAAATGGGCAACATTACTTCCAGTAAATCTTAATTTTACTATTGGTAGTAGTGATCCTAAACAAGACTGGTACTATGCGCAACCCCCTGGCCATTGGTCCATTAAATACCAAGATACTGCTGATGGAAAAGGAAGAATTTTGCGGGTAGCTTTGGCAGCTGTCAGCAGAAAACCCCATCTCCAAGTGTTCGTTAATGGGCATAGAGTGGGCAATATTTACTACGGTAACGACCAGTCAGTTTATAGGAGTGCTATGAATAGTGGTACTTATTATTCTAATGTTTTTAATGTTAGTGCCGCTCAGGTGGTCAGCGGAGAAAACAGCGTTAGCATTTATATGACTTTAGGGCAAATTATGTACGATGTTATTAGTTTGCAAAGGGGTTGAGGCTTGATAAACAAACTGAATTTTTGTACAAAGATTTATTGTTTATTTTTATTGAGAGTAGATCTTCTAATCGGTGAAGGACACTTGTCGATATTATTATTTTAGGTATAGTGATAAGGTAATAACGTTTCCTGTGGGCAGGTATTGAAGTGTTTATGCAGATTAGAAAAAAAATCAAAATAATTGTGTCCAGGTCGTGACTTAAGAGTCAAGAGGCCAGAGTATTGGGTTTCCTTGGAAAAAAAGTTTCAGAAACCGTTGTTGGACTATCAGATTCAGTTACAAGAAGATGCAGAAGAAGTTGTAGGTTTTATGATTTAGATTTTGGAAAACTTTGGAAAATCATAACTTTTTTCTATCATAGATAGAAAGCTGAAACTTTCACTGAATTTTATCCCAATCAAGGGATTACAATCACAATTCCTGAAAATTTCAGCTCATTTGCACTTATAGTTCCTAAGATTAAATCGTATTAGGCAATTTGGGGTTATTTATCAATTTTTCAATTTTTCTGAGTGTCATTTTTCATAGATTTCAGCTTCAAATCTGGATATAAGTTAGTGTATGGAGTTTGGGGTATGTTGATTGACCATTAGGATATAAAATCTCGACAAAAAAAAAATTGAAATTTCATCGTTATAGTAAGAAGGTACCTACCTTATGATTTAGATTTTGGAAAACTTTGGAAGGACATAACTTTTTTTCTATTATAGGTAGAATGCCGAAATTTTCACTGAATTTTATCTCAATAAAGGGACTACAATCCCTGAAAATTTCAGCTCATGTGTACTTATAGTTCCTGAGATAAAATTGTGTTAAGCAATTTAGGGTGATTTATCAATTTTCCAATTTTTCTGAGTGCCTTTTTTTATAGATTTCGGCTTCAAATCTGGAAATAAGTTAGTGTATGGAGTTTGGGGTATATTGATTGATCATTAGGATATAAAATCTCGACAAAAACAAATTGAAATTTCATCATTTTAGTAAAGAAGGTACCTACCTTATGATTTAGATTTTGGAAAACTTTGGAAGGGCATAACTTTTTTTCTATTCTAGGTAGAATGCCGAAATTTTCACTGAATCTTATCTCAATAAAGGGAATACAATCCCTGAAAATTTCAGCTCATGTGTACTTATAGTTCCTGAGATAAAATTGTGTTAAGCAATTTAGGGTGATTTATCAATTTTCCAATTTTTCTGAGTGCCTTTTTTCATAGATTTCGGCTTCAGATCTGAGAATAATTTAGTGAATGGAGTTTGGGGAATGTTAATTGACCATTAGGGTACAAAATCTCAACAAAAAAAAATTTGAAATTTCGTCGTTTTAGTAAGAAGGAAAAGAAGCTACCTTATGATTTAGATTTTGGAAAACTTTGAAAGGTCACAACTTTTTTTCTAATATAGATAGGAAGCTGAAACTTTCACTGAATTTTATCCCAATCAAGGGACTACAATTCCTGTAAATTTCAGCTCATTTGTACTTATAGTTCCTGAGATAAGCAATTTGGGGTGATTTATCAATTTTTCAATTTTTCAAGTATGGATTGTAGTGGTTTCTAATTTAGCTGACAAGGAGACTTTGTATAAGCTGAAGTTATAGGAAAAGTTCCGAAAACTCTTGGTAGTTAGATCAGAGAATATTTTGGAAAAAATCACAAACGTAGAAAAACCACCCTTTTGCATAGATCCGCATTTATCAATTCTTTTCTATACACATAATAATTATGAGTAGATTTTTTCTCAAAACACCTTTTCATATACCCTATACGTGTGTACATAATACACGCTTAGTTTACCAGCGATGGGTGCAAGTGTAAAGTACGCCCGATTTGTCAACACCAAACGGTTTTCCGGTAAAACGGGCACGTGGATGCGATCCGTTGGAGCGGAGCCCCATTAATTCCGAAAGGCTGAATGTGCCCGAACCGACCACCAATACACACACACTTCCACACATACAATCTCAAAACGCAGAGTCAGAAAGGGCTGCGCTGTCCCCATATCACACACGTATGTCTATATATCTCTCTATACATAACTCACTTTCACGAGGTATACATAATGATTATATATGAAAACGAGCTTAAGAGCCCTCTCTGATATCGTGTAATTGCTTTGAAGTAGTGCCTTTGGTATTCAGTGGTCTGAAATATTTGTAAATTTGTTTTTACAAGAGGTGACGGTAAAAGGTATTAATTCGTATATATGTAGTTGGTTGGAAAAAAAAAAGCTTGGGGCTTTAAATTACTCACATCCTTGCTTGCCATCTTTCTATGTCACATGTAATTCAAGCCTATCATGCAACGGCCGTTGGTACGCTTAATTTGCCACATTTGAGGAAAATGTGATCTGACTTGGGTTTTATTTTTTATCTTATTGTGTTTCAAGGTGGTCCCATCATGGTTCGTATGGCTTTTCAATCTGCCGATAGGTGCATTTTTATTATTTTATCTTGATATAGGCAATCCATAGTAGGTAACTATAATTTTTTCTCTATTAATAGCGGTTCAGAAATATACCAAGGAAATATGATTATTTGTTACTATTATCAATCAACGTTATTATGGAAGATGTGTGGTATTAAAGCAGATATAATATATACTTTTTGCTTTATCTCAAATTTACAAGTTTTTTCCCTCTTTTGAATCACAATTTTCATCGTATACCTATTGTAAGTTTAATTTTTCAGTATTTAAATGATCATTTGGAACTTCTCAAACTCCATACTGTCAAATGACTTTGAAGCCTTGCAGCTGCGAAACCATTGAATCTGATTACAGACTTAGAGAATTGGACTTAATTAGAGCCTATAGTTATAGAGCCTGATCTGTTTTTGAACTTTTTCTAATATATAATAGGAAAATATAAAGAAAATTCAAGAGCCTGGAATAAACCAAAAATTACATGGAAAAAAAAGGGAAGTACAGTTTACAAACGAAAAAAAGTTTCAATGTATCAAATATCAATTTTAAATTATTCTTCCATACCTCCCTTTGTTATTTTAATAATGTGCAAATTACAATCTTAAAAAAACGGAAATAATAGGTAATTAAATTTGTGATAATAATCCGTGCTAATTAACATTTTACCACGAAATCTGAACACCGCATCTTTTAATTATTATTCTTGGAAGTGTATAGTTTTTTCAATTACAATTTTAAATATTCACAAAAAAAAAGAGTTTGGCATATAAGGTCTAGTGGAAAACATTGTCTACATTGAAATATGATCTTTGCAAATTGATGTCAAGAAAAGATGTTCTCGTAAAACTGAAAATCATGAAAATTCAAGGAATTCAAAAGTACATTCAAGAGAATCAGACACTTTTCAAGAAGATGATGTTTCCAAAGGAGAAAATAAATGCTGCAGTTTCTAGAGCAGTGATGAAAAATCTGGTGATTGGTGAAAAACCTTTTTGAAAAATGACAATTTCTGGTGATTTTGAAATTTCATCAATTTTGAATATTTTTAACAATGGCATACACTTTATAAACATCCCTAGTAATGTATTAAAATTTTACTTCATTAACATACAAATTTCATTTGTTTGTCAGAAAACCAAATACCCATACGTGGGTGTGTGAGGTCCTTTGATTTTTATATAAATTTGTATTATTTGTTCTTTTGATATATTTATAAATGTTTCCCTTTTTATATTTCAATTTCTGTTTATTCCAGGCTCTTGTTGCTATTGGCCGGTTATTTTTCAAGTTGGCAACATGTATTTTGTTTGGCCAGTGGCGTTGCTTATGGGGGGTTTCAGTCAAACCAATCGAACACTCGAAATTTTTATTTTTCATATTTTCGAAATTTTTACTTTTCCAATTGATTCAGCTGGTTTAAATTAATCGAAAAAAATTCTAACATCACTTTCAAAATGGCGAATTCAAAAAGCTAACAAATCTCAACTTTTGTTCTGGAATTTTTTTTCAAATCTTGACAAGGTTAGGAATAATGGCCAATATCTTCATAGAAATTTGAACATATCAAAACAAATTATATATGGTTGGAAAGAGAATTAAATTTTCTATAAATCTGCTAAATTGGTTGTGATAACTCGAATACTTTCTGAGCAATTTGATCTCAAAGTTAATTTTTAGTCCAAATTTTATCAAAAATTTCAAACTCGATTTTCTCGAAAACCATAAGAGCTAGCGATTTCAACTAAATACCATTTTAAAGCCCTTGTCAAGAGTTACATTTCCTGAAACTTTTAATTCAAAATCTTAATAGATTTCAAGATATTCAAGATCAAATATTTTGAAATAAAAAGGGGTAACCCTTTGAAAAATTCGAAATTTTTATTATTCATATTTATCGAATTTTGACTTTTCCAATCGATAGAGCGGGTCTAAATTAGTCGAAAAAAACTCTAACATCATCATAAAATCTTTATTTCAACATAGAGAAAAATTAAAAAGAAAATCTCAATTTTTAGGTTTAAATTTTTTTAAATCCTGACAAGGTTAGGAGCAATTGCCAATACTTCTATTAAATTTTTAGGAAATCAAAATAAATTATATATGGTTGGAAAGAGCATCAAATTATCTATAAATCAGTGCTATATTGAGTTTGATAACGCAAATAGTTTTAAAGCAATTGAGCCTCAAAGTTAGATTTTAGTTAAAATTTAGTCAAAAACTTCAAACTTGATTTTCTCAAAAACCGTAAATGCCAATGACTTCAACTGAGTATCATTTTGAAGCCCTTATTAGGAGCTACAATTTCAAAAAAAAAATGATCCAAAATCTCTGACGGATTCAGAGAAAATTAAATTTGAAAATTTTGAAATAAAAATCTCAAATCTCTTTGAAAAAAATTCAAAAACTCAAAATTTTCTTTTTTTCAGACTTTCGTAACTTAAGCGAATCTAAATAAGTCGAAAAAAAATCTAACATTATTTCAAAATGACAATTTTAAAGGAAGATTTTTTGGATCTAAATTTAAAAAAAAAATCCTGACATGTTCATGAACAATTGCCCATATCTTCATTGAAATTTGAGCAAACTAAAACATGTCGTATATCATTGA